TCAAAGTTAAAAACCGGGTTCTTCAAAGAAGAAATGAACTTCTGCAAAAACAAACAAAACTTGTTTCCTTTGGGAACAGTCACAAACACATGTTTCTTCCTTCTCAACTGCCACTCAATCACATTGCAACATAGCAACCAAATAGAAGCTCTGTTTTGTTTGGGAGAAGGGTTGTTGATCACTACACAGTGGGGCTGCAACCTCTCAAGTTGCTGCCAAATAGCATCTTGACCCTTCCACGTGGGAAAGTTGTATCCTGCCTTGAAATCCATAGGAGATGCAACTCTTACACCATTCTTTGAAAGGAACCAAGATAATCCACTGTTTCCATGAAGTAACTCAACAACATCAGGATGATCATCATTACAAAAGAAAAAGGACTGTTCTCCAAATTCGGCATCAACATACAGTTCGTGATCTTCACGTAAGTTCTCCGGGTTCTCATCGTCTAATGCCGGTATGGAAACATCATGCCACTCATCGTGATCACGTCTAACCTTTGACTGATTCACACGTACCACTGCCTTACCAGTGTTGGCTTGGACCATAGCTCCTTCTTGTCCAAGTACTGTGGCACGAACCCAACGTCCTTTATCCTTGAACTTTGATGAATCCTGAGTCCAAATAAAAACCTTCTCTCCTTGAAAATAGGGGCCGTCACTTGGCATAGTCCTTCTTGCAAGATCTGCTCGAAGGTCCTGAGCTTGTCGTGCTTCTTGATGAGCTCTCAAAGCTACACGTTGTAGTTCCAGATTTGTACGATCTTGTGCGGCTGCAACTGCTCAGGGCTTGCGGTCTCAAGGTCAAAAAGATCTGGTGGACGTCTTCCAGTTGCTATCTCTATTGGTGAATATCCACTGATAGTCAACTGACAATTTCTTGCCCACACTACTTTCTTAACCACTTCCCTGACCGTAACACCACGAAAACGTGGGTCATCCAGATCTACTTTCATAACATGCCACATACGTTTGAACAAACGTACAGCTGTCTCTGCTCGGTTCGGCCAAGGAGTTCTTGGTCCACAAGGACATTGTTGTATACCATGAAACCTGTAGTATTCAACAAAAGCATCCGTGAAAAAGGCTTCGTCTCCTACGATGGCCTTCGGAACACAGTTGTTCTCATCAGACCACTGCCTCGATGCTTGGATGGTGGTTTGATCTATGAGGTCTTTCTGTGCCGTAGCCCAGAGAAGATTTGTGGCACCATCAAGAACAAGTAGAATGATATACTTGTTCTTGTGAAGTTCAACCTCACAATGATCAGCAAAAACAACATCACCAAAACATGAAGCTCTAATACCGGAGACTCTGGCTCGTGGCGGAGGTGCCACTGAAGTGTTACAAACACGGCAGTTCCTGACAACTGATTCATATTTCTCTAAAACAGAGTCAGGAAGCTTCAACATAGAAACACGTCTACGAAACTGAGTAGGACTCATATGGTAGTGCTTCACATGAAGCTTATAAAGCTCTACCTTGTCCTCCAGTCTCTGTAACATCTTCCTATATGCCGGTGTCATTGCAACAACTTCACTACCAGGTAATGGGATTGAAATCCGCCTAGGCTCAAGAGCGCCATCACCTGGTTCAAGTGGTTCACGTTTATCACTTGATGGTCCTTTTGATGCTTTAGGAATTTCTACAAGTTCACCTTCTGGCCTCTCAGGTGGTTCTGAAGGAGTATAACCCTCAGGATCATCACCTTTTAAATTCTGTGGAGGCTCAGATGGTTTCGACTTGTGTCCTTTCCAAAATGGATCAAAACCCTTGGAAGTATACCGAAACTTCGGCGGCGCGGACTTTTCCGCGGCACTGGATGGTGCACCTTCCTTCTCTGAAGAGAAGCCTGGTTCCCTGTCCTTTGCAATGGGAACCTTCTCTGAGGAGGAGCGCACCACTGCATCGGGATCACCAATGCCACGGTGCTCAATGCCAGCCTTCCTGATCTTTAGATCTGGAATTTTGGCATCTGGCTTGAACTTAAAAATTGTTCTACCACGCCATTCATAGCCAATTTGTAGGTCCTTCCATTTTGCCTTGCGCCAATCATCTTGCTTCTTGATTTCTTCTCCTCCTTCTTTCTTCTTGATGATTGTCAGTCGCAAGTCTTCCAGCAAGTCAGTGTCTACAGGACAGGACTTAGTTGCTGGGAAAAGAATCTTCCTGTAATCCTTGTGGTGACGTATCAGTTCTCTTTTGTGAACATCTACTTCCCAGTAATCAACCACAGGATATGCATGCTCAGCTTCATCTTCATCACTATTGTGATCAACAGAAATATGGCCATATTCATAGTGAGTGAAGTGAGAGTAAAAACTCTTCTCGCGCCGAGCCTGCAAACGCACGTCAGACAGATACCATGCAATATCTTGGAAGTCCAAAACAAGATGAGTACTGGCTGCAACCTTCAACTCCAAAAATTTGATACCAAGAGGCACCGATGTCAGGTAAGCATGTTGAGGTGTCAGCCTGAGTTCAAAGCCTAAGTTCCTCATCTGTGGCAAGCTCATAAGCAAAGGGACTTCTCCTTCTTCAACTATGTCGAACTCTGTATGGTGGATCGTCCATGCACGATCATACATGTAAATCACCAGCTTCTGCGAGCAAGAAGCCTTCTGAGAATTGGCAAAGTAAAACTTGCTCTTGGTAGACTCAAAGGAGTACCATAGTCCACAGTTTGGGTGATTGTCGACATAGTTACAAAAATAATCGACTGCACGCCTTGATCCCATAGCTCTAGTGCATCCAATGTCCAGGATTGCAATAGTTGGCGGGAAGCGATTCTCAGTCAAAAATGAAATAGCCTGCATCTCCTTCACTTCTTCCTCAGCGCTCATAAGCGCAAAGCCATCAGGAGCATCTGTGAGCATCTCCTTTGACAAAGAGTACCTCACAGGGGCACTCATGTCATCGAAGATCATCTCACCATTGTTGACCTTACCGTCAGCTTCATCTTGACATGAGGTCATCATGCCTGACAGCAAGTCCACCTCACTGTCATGGACTTCAGCTGCTGTTGTCACACAATGTGCAAAGAAACCTTGGTTGCTTCCTGATGCTTGTGAATTTCTTGAAGGTGCAGGTAAAGAACGTGGCTGTTGTTGATTTGCATAGTTTGCATCTTGTTTGCCATCTCCTTTATCTTTTCCTTTTCCTTTCTTGCCTTTTCTCTTGCCTTTTCCTTTTCCTTTGTGGGAAAACCATGCTTCTTCAAGCTGTTGCCAAAAGTCATTGGCATCTTCATATTCTCCTTGAAGATAGTCATTCATATCTTCGGCAAGAATAGCATCATATGCTACTTGGTTTGACTCCCAAGTGTCCTCATAAGGATTCTCTTCAAAATACTCATCTGGATAAGTTGGCGGTTGCTCATCAGCATAGTGGCCTTTTCCTCGTCTCTTTCCTTTTCCTTTTCCACGAGGTCTGAAGAATCTGCGGCCTGATCTTCCCTTGCCTTTTCCTTTTCTTCTTCCTTTGCCTTTGCCTTTTCTGGCTCTTCTTCCTTGGAATCTCCTCTGGAACCAAGAGAAATTCTGTTCATCATATACCCAAAAGACATCGTCCAGGGCATCTAGGAATCCTTCTGTTCCATCTTCTTCATCTTCGGCCCAATAGCCAAATGTACCATCGAGTTCTCCTTCGTCTAGTACGAGAAATGATCTTCTACCTCCAGCACCTGTCGGCTGCATCAAAGGATTGTCTACTGAAGTCTTTGTCGTGCAGAACATCTCGATGAACACTGTCCTCAACTCTGTTGTAGTGTATTGCTGTAGGACCCTGCCACGATGAGTCATCAAAGAAGTCAAAGTGTTTCGCTGGTCCTGAGACAAATCTGCAAGTGACAGCATGAGTAAGGCAATCAGATTTTCTCCCAAAGGAAAATCGTTCTGATGAAAAGTTCTCATATTGCCATTGATGGTCTGCATGATTTCCTGAATCCTTTCTGCCGTTGGAGCTACTCCAGTCAACGCTGCATCAGCCTGCATCTGAGCTAGGACCTGAGGATGTGCTTGTGTGACTGGCTCTAACATATCCATCCAACTGCTCATAAGCCTTTGGAGTAAAATCTGGAATCTTGTCATCCATTTCATCATGTCCGCTGATCCGCGGTTGAAGCGCACGAATTGCATAAACCTATACAGGAATACATTGGTTGATCCTTTCACAAAATATGGACGTAGTACTCGTTTGAAGTATTCTACTCCAGCTCCTGGTGGATCATTTGCCTTCAATGCATCTCTGTCTAATACACGTTTGTATACGGCTGCTTCTCCTTCTAATCTGTTTCTCAAAGCTGGTCCTCTTTTCTCATCTTCCAGCTCGGTGATATCACACCAATCATCTATGGCATCCTCATAGGAAAACCATGAAGTCTTTCCATCATAAGATGGGGGCACCTTTGTAGTGACCTGTGTTGTCATAGCTATCGCTGCTGGTTCTCTTCTCACATGCCTATTCACATAGGCTGCTGGCTCATAAGCCACATCCGCATCAGGCTCTTCCCAGTCGTCAATCCAATCCATGGCCGGTTGCCCACAAGCAAGTCTATGCCTAGGAAAGGAGCTCACCTGGGTCTTCCAGGATCACTGCTCCGCTACCACTGAAAGAGTGACTAGGGCGTACACGGTAGAGGTGCAGACCGCTAGTGTCTTTTATGCGCAGAGTCTTATCCTCTTAGCGTCTCTTGAGCCTTATGGCAGTCAAGCATGGACACACTAGATAGGCCACTGGAGTGGAACCTGTACAAGTATGCCTCTACATTTCAAGGGGAGGGGAGGGGAGGGGAGGGAGAGGGGAAGAGAACACAAAAGAAGCGAGGCAAAGCGGCAAAACTAATGTCACACATCAATCAAATTTCCATGCTTTGCCACGGAAATGGGGAAACATTAATCAGAATTTGCACAGCCCTCTATCATGTTAGTCACACGTGCGGAAGCAAAGAAAACTGGCTCAGCTGGAAGAGAACAGGTGGCTCAGGGAAAAAGCAGCCGGCTCCTGCTTCCAACAGGCACCTGGTCAAAGAATGATCACCGAAAAATGCCGCCATGCCCAAAGGTGTGATGCCTTCTAGGCTTCCGAAGAGTTTGGTGGCAGCCGACAAGGATCCGAAGTCATACCTCGGTTCGCGGCGCCGGCGCCCGTGGCGGTTTGGATCTCAAAGTCAATTTAGCCGATCTGGGGTGGCTGACATCCGGAGTCAGTGAATGTCAATATTCCACACATGGGAGTGAAATATTTACCCAGACACTCCATGGGACTGCCATATATGCCGATCAGTTGGGGTGGTTGACTGGGGGTTGACTGGGGGCGGCAGTCCGGACTGGCAGTCCCAGACAGGTCGTGTCTGGGTTACATCTCCCATGACCATCGGACTGGAAGATCGGACCGGTGAACCAAGGATCTATCGATCGGCCATCTCTTCCTCCCATGGATGGATCTCTTCCTACCATCTGAACATCCGGACGCGTGATCATCACTGACTTTCACGAAAAAGAACACAACAATTCCAAACACTCCATGGATAAATATGACATGAAATGAAAGGCACACCTTCCGTAGATGGAGTGTTTGGGATGGATAAGTCGCATGCCGCCAAAACAATCCCTTGCCGACTAGAACTCTTTGTTCCAGCGTTTTGGCCTGTTCCATGGCCGGTCAACCAAGACACATGTAGGAGATGATCTGGGAGCTGTGGCAGATGCATGCAAAAATACTGGTCCCCGCCGTGGACAGCTGCACGTCCACCTCCGCGCGATGTTCCAAGAGCAGCTGGGCTTTCTCCGCCGCTTGGCGCTTGGAAAAGGCCGCCACCACGTGCAGAGGATGGATCCCAGCATTGGATGGATTCACGTCGCACCTGGCCACGAGACCACGGAAACCAGTTGCACGCACGGTCGTGGGGTTCGGATGCGGCATGCGGCCCGGACGCGAACGCTTGGAGAGCGGATTAAGGGTGGGTTGAAGCCCATCTTCGAGAAGACATCTAGGGGTTTCGAGCCTGATAACCACCTTTCTTTCTATCAATTAGATAAAGCAGGAGGGTGCAACAATTCGAGACATGATGAGTTGCCAAGGTTCAGAGCCGCACAATTCGCTCATTCCGCAGAGATTCGCTCATTCCGCAACATTCCCTATGGATTGAGAAGGTGATTGTTAACAGTAGGCTTGGAGAGTCCAATTGGTATATGTGGATCCATAGGGATTGGAAAATGACAGAAGTTTTCACCAAAAGAGTTCATGGGTAGACCTGGTCAGGCACCCACATATACCCCACTTCTTTGGGGCACTAAAAGGGGGTATCAACCATTTGGGCACGTAGGAGAAACCTGTGTTTCTCCGGACCCTTCGACCCCCAAACTCTCAGCCGGCCGAACCACCTGATCACCCCAATTCTCTTCCCTCCGACCACCCCGGTGACCACCCCGAACCACCCCGCCACCCTCGGCGTCGCCACGCCTGTGCAAAATCATCTCCTTCACCGTGTCGAAGCTCGCCCAACAGGCCACCGAGGCCAAGGGAGGGTTGCGGAAGCGGGTCAAGTTTTGCATGTCCTGACCGGGCCAGTTCGCGTCGCGGCGCGTTCCCAGACACGACCAGAATCTAACATATGTTTAAAATATACATTGGAGTGGTTGGCTTCAGGGGTGAATGTGGATAAATAGACATGGAATGTTTGGTTTTTTTCAGACCCCGATCTCTCTCCCATACCAGCCAGGTCAACTGTTCGGGACTTCTTTTTGTTAAGAAAAAACAAACTCTATGGCTCCAATTACATCCTCAGAAGGTCTTTGGACCCTCCTGGCACCCACCCCAGTCCCACTTTCTCAGAAGGGCAACAAATCGACGCAGGAGCATCTGGTGTGGAATCCGTTTGGACTCTAGACAAAGCATGACCTGGCTTGAGCTGGAGCATCTGAAAGCAAGCACCCCAATGAGCGCGGACGGCTTCCACCGCTTCTGGGCACTTTATGGCTCTTTGGATGCCAGTATAGTGGATTGAGAGTATAGATGGCACGATCCCAAACAGGCTTAGTTTAATCACCCGTCTGGAAGAAACTGGACAGAGTCAGGGTGATTGAAAAAAGAAACAAAACAACATCCCTGACTCTGCAACAGATCCTTCCAATCCCCCACCTGACATGGGTGCTGGTGTGGTCACCGTGGTCCCCACTCTGGCCTGCTGTGATGTTCATGGGACCAAAAGGCAAAGCGCGAGACACGACACCTCTGAGTGTCCCAGTGACGTTGACCGAAGCACCCAGTGTCCCAGATCTGTGGTCCATTAGACACATCATGACACATCCAGTATAGGACCGGACAAACATAAAACTCTCAAAGACTCAAAGTCCCCCAAAAACAGCACACCCAACCACACGATCCTATAGAATCCGACCATCACATCAGTGAGTCTAGAAAGGCAAGGCAAGGGGTGCTCTTCACCCCCCCCTGAAACGCGTTCCAACGGATGGAACCCAAAACCGCGCACCGAGTGGCCACGCCGGCGTTGGCCAGCACCTGCACCTGTCCGGGCGTCTGGACCCAGTGGATCACCTGCGCACCAAAGCGGCTCGCAGCGGTGAGATCGGCTTGGAGCTCCAACAGCGTCGACAGCACGACCTGCGGGGTGGAGAGGTCAGGCGGGTTGTGTCGTGCGGTGCGTTTCGTGGGCTTTTTCTGAAAGGGAACACGTTTTTGGCCCTCTTAATCCCTCTTGGGATGCCCAACATGTCGGCAACCACATTGACCTCTGAAATCAGCCACCCCTAGGGCTCCAGTCGTACCGTATCGTTTCGAAGGTGGGACTGGGGTGGGTTCAGAGGGTCCAGTCATACCTTCTGAGGAGGCGCGGCACGACTGGAGCCCTATGCTTACGCTCCCTGAAATAGCTCCATTGGTGGAAGCAAAACACCGGACATAGCGATCTTGGAATGTGTAGGAAAACACATTCTTAAGATACATTAAGAAACAAAACCGATGTTCTCTTGGGAAACAGGAAGCTTTTTCAAAAGGTCAACTGAACAAAGGAGTTGATCCAAATCCCTCAAAAGGGAAGGATCCCATAAACTAGGCTAAACATGGATGATCCCTGTATTGAATCAATTTCCAAGGAAAACACCCAAAGACCTCCGAAGACTTGTATAAGTGGGACACTTTATGACAATGAATGGATTGAAAGTGGTCGAGCCGAAATCTGATGACTTCCTCCGTTCCCCTGGCAAGCATTACTTGGGCTGGACCCTCTATGACTCTATGAAACTGATTGATCGACACCCTAAGATCTTCAGATTCTAGTCACTCGTCCAGTTAGGGGTGGAAAACACCATGACTCAAACCGATTTGATCCGATTTGGTCCAGCCCAGGCGCCGGATCTTGCTTGCATCTGGCCGCCATCATCAGCGGCGTGTGGCCCGAGGGCTGACGGCAAATCTTTTCCAAGCCGTGACACCTGCCAGATCGACGGCCCACCTCCCAGACACTCAATGTACCAGGAGTCACAAAGAGGTGCCGAACTTGGAGGATAGGGGTGCCCAGAATCCACTCACTTGGGGACAAAAGACCACTCCTTTGTGACATTCTGGTGTATTTACTTAGGATTGGAATTGGTTTGGAGGGGTGAATGGTAGGTATTGATTCCAGACCCACCGGATCCAGGGCCTTTGTCCGAAGACGCGTTCCTTTTCGAAAGAAAAACGTCCCACCTCACGGGTCACCTGGACCCTGCACGACGTAGGCACCAATTGGATGATCCAGGTAGAAACCTGTCAATACGTCCGGCTCTTCCCGGAACACTCCATGGCAAAAAATAACAATGGGGTGGTTTGGGGGTAGCCGGAAAGAGACACAATCAATCCTTGTGTATAGAACAGCAGGAGGAATTCGGTTCATCAATAGACAAAGCTCCTTTCCAGCCCGGTGCACTGGAGAGCCTTGCAGCCATGTTTGGGGCCTAGAGCCCAATTTTAGATCCCCAAGCCACCCCACCGATCAGTATATTTGATTTTGATTGGTTTTGCTTAAGCTGATTGTTATGTGCGTCCCCAACCAATCCCAGAGGATCCGTGGGACTGGAAGATGTACCTATAGCATTCATTTTCCGCACCTTCCACGAAGGGGGGTCGGTCTCTCGAACGGTTAAAAAACACCCATACATCTATCCCAAAGGCTCAAAAACGCTCAGAGTCTGGACCCAACCCGTTTGCCTTGGGCTTGGACTCACAAGTGTAGGGCTTTTTGGACCAAAGCAAAATATAGCAGCCTCTCCAGCAGGCTGCTTGGAGACCCTAACAGGTGGTTTCTGGACACCTGTGGTCACCAGGAACCACCTGCTGGAGGATCCAGGTATATATACCAGGGCCCAGTGTATGATGGTGGTTAGGTTGCAAACCTCTGCCCCCAAAGCAGTGATCATCTTGAAGACCGACTGCGACTGCTATTGGGATACACCCGACTGTGACTGCTATATGGTTTGGAGACCCCCCTCAGGGGAACACGGAACGGGTCGGATGGGCCGGAACTGCCTCGCCTGAGGTTGACATCTGCCGTGTTTTGGACTAAGACCCGAATCATCTGCACATCGCCTGGAAGATGCTGGGAAGAGATCGGTGCCGTCGTGCGCCGGCAGTGCGCTCCAGCTGATGTGGTCAAACAACATGAGCAACCCAGGTATTAAACGAAAACACACTCTTAGTCTCTGTTAATGGAGTTTGGCAGCTTAACCGCCCGCTACAAAAAAAAACTGTATAATATGATATGGAAACATAAAGAACGATTGGAACCGTCATCGATCACCTTTCACCTTGTTGCATCCTTCTTAATTGGAGATTGGAGACCTGAAAACGGGTCGCCCATTCAGCCTGAGAGAACCGCGCAAAGCAAGCCAGGCATTGGGCTTTGATCTGTGGCAGCATCATGGAGGCTTGAAAACCTGGGCGCTGGGCTATGCCAAGGCTATCGCTGCACCGGATTCTGCACACCATTCCTTGGGGCCTTACTCAAACCCTAGGGCTCCAACTACCTCCGTTTCGAAGGTGGCTAGAGGATATGTTTGGAGCCCGGGCTAAAAGCACAGTCCAGGACGAACGACAACACGCTACACCTACCTCAGACAGATCAAGACACTGAAACTGCCTCAGAAACTCCTCGATCTCCCACCCTGCTCTCTGGCTCCTGGCAGCAGCTCGGCCGAAAACGCGAAACCTCGCGAAACGGGGCGCGAAAACGTCGCGGGTGACTTGACAGAGAGTTCGAACGACACAGCATAGAGCCGATCTCCAAACGGATTCTGCTGGACGGCTGCCAGCGATCAGATCAGTCACCCAAACACTCCATGGGACTGCCATAGGACTGCCGCCCCAGCCAGACCCCCCAAACCACCACCCCTGGCCGTGCCACTCGGCAGTCCGGACTGGCAGTCCCAGACAGGTCGTGTCTGGGTCAGTGATCAGTGATTATCGAGTCTTTGACCGTTTAAACCAGTCTCGTTGGGCGAAAACCTGGAACGTCTGAAGGGCCACCGGTGTGGCACGCGGACGCGGCAATTGGAGAGCGGAGTCGATGAATAGAATCTCTCTGACATAGGAATCGGGTCTGGGGTATGCTTGTTTGTTGATGTTTGTTGTTTTTTTTCGTATTTTTTCGTGGGTTTGTTTGGAGGGGAGTCCATGGTCGACCATTCCAACCACAAGCCTCTTGTTGACCATTTATTGACCCCCAAAAAAAGCGCCCCACCATGTGGCTCGTTTCGGTCCCATGTCTGTGATTCTCTGGGTGGATCGACACTCGAAAGCGTGCTGCTTCCACCCCCCCAAACTGCCCCCGCGCTCAACACGCTCCTGCTCAAGTGGAATTGCCCGGTGAGCAAATAGCGCAAATAGGCCAACGACCCTGCCTCGCTCTCGTGCTGAATCTTCATCGCAACGGACTTTTGGACCAGTGATGAAACCATCAGCCGATCGTCCTGGACGAAGGAAGCTCGACGAAGGAAGCACGAAACCGCCGAAAGCGAAACCACGGAGCTGAACGGTGGATCCGACGATGTACCTAGACCATCTTGGACCCAACTTCAAGAAGATGGGACATGACCCGAACCAAAAAACTGGTACTATATACTGTATTTCTGGTTGGTGTTTTGAAAACATATTAGTCAGAGGGTCCAATCATCCCCAAGTAAGGGTTGAACATAAACATATCCGAAACCATCACCTATAAGCTACTGTATTGTCCAAGGTACGAGTACGAACGGGTCGACTCCGGGTCGACTCCAGGTACTTCCACCCGAACTGGCGGGCGGTTCGGGTGCTGTTTTGACTTCTTCGCACGTGAAACTGGCTTCATCCATCCCTAGGGATCCAGTCGTACCGAACCTCAGCAGGTGATTGGACCCGACAATGGCACCTACATAGCAGTGTCTCCGTCCTCACCGTACCTGAGGTTCGGTACGACAACGGATCCCGGCTGGGCATGTGGTCTTCTTCTCCCAACGCGACACTCGCATCGGTCTCTGAAAAAAACACGAATGTAGAATCAGGGGTGGGTGCCAGGGTCGGGTCTAGTCATACCGAACCTGAGGAGGTATGACTGGAGGTGTAAGGAATCCAAATGAGGGTTTGTTGATTCATCAAGATCACTCACGCATGCACACAATCACACCCAGAATGGTCAGAATGTTCCTTTGGTCGTCAGTCAACAAATTTCAACATCCCAAACACAGTTCTTGAATGAGTTTGTCTTGAGTCTTGAGTTTGGATTTTCCATGCAGAGTCCAAGTATTCCGTCCAGGGCAGGTGAGTGACTCACAACGAATCAGTCCTCGACGGTGAATTGGCTTTGCCACACCGCATCCCAGTCGATCTTGTAAGAACTGAGTTCCACATGCTTTGCAGAATGAAGCGTGATGATCGTGGTGTCCGGTTTGCTGGACAATTGTTGGCAGAGCAATTCCGAAATGCACCATCCGCGAGACTGCCATGAAGTGCAATTGCAAATCAATCCAGTGTCGTGATGAAAGAGCTCCGGAGCGAGGATCACAAACAAATGGCATCCTTGGCTGTCCAGCTCAATCCTTTGGCTGTCGGGTTTAACATGGTGAACAGTTAAACCAGATCTTGGCTTTATAGTAAGAAACCCAATTCCAAAATAACCAACAGGGCTGTCCACAGGCATGTTATTTTTTTTGGCGGTACAGGGCTGTCCATAGGCATGTTATTATTTTTGGTGGTACGACGGTACGCCAGGCAAGCTTCGCTCGACATATCCAGGAATACTCTGAATGGCCTTTGCTGCCTCAGGCGGTGGAGCATCGTCCGTTTTGGAGGTCAGTTGCGGGACGCCAAGCCAATCCAACCTTAGCCATCGCGGAGGGATGATGGTTGGTCTGCGTTTTATTATATGAACTATTGAAACACATATAACATGTTATATTCAATATTAAATATATATGTAGGGGGGAAAAAAGATGGAGCCCACGAACCCGAATGCAAACACATACGTCAAACCACTGCGTATAAAAAGAGACACAGCCGGTCAGAATCTCTTTTTCACTCTCTGGCACGCTGTTGGACATCATGCGCTGGGGACTCCACCACCAAGGCAGCATGCGCTGGGGACTTCACCACCAAGCTCCGTCTTCATCATGAAGGGTCTTTGTTTTGCATTCAAATCAAGCACTGGCGTAAAGGTTCTGGCAGATCCGCGGCACGAAAGAAACAATGGCATTGTCCCAAAATCTCGAAAATAAGCACTTGAAAATGATAACCGTCCACATAATACAGAGAAATCCACAACTGCGGCGACTCCGCTCTTCCAAGCGTTGCATGCCAGTGGTGAGATGTTTGAGCACCGGTCCACAGGTCAACGAGGGTTTCGTCGTGTAGTCACAAGTGTAGAAGGAAGTCTGAATGCCAGAGCGCAACCCTTCCACCAAATTTTCTCGAAGCCAGACATACAAAACTTTTTGGGCGTCGTTCCAAAATCGATCACCGATTCGAGCAGCCTCTCCCGCCCCGCGCGCGTCCATCTCATCATAGCTGAACCTTCTGCATGCCAACGACAAGCTGCGGCACATGGAGTTCGATAGGAAGGGTCCCAAAGTTTCGCCAATGCGACGCGTTGCTCGCCACGAGCTTCCGTCTAAGTCTAGGAGATTCATCAAACAAAGTTCACAAAACACCTCCCCGATGACTCTCTGTGTGACCACATGCACGCGCAACTTCTTTGGACTTCGGTGTTGGTCTGACGCAGTCAAGATGGCCATCGTGTCCGCCTGGCGTCGGCTGACTATGTGAAATCCGGGAGCGGTGACTCCGTATCTGTAGCCGCGGTAGAAACAAGCACGGATAAGACGTGGTGGCATACGGTTGGAAACAATAGCATACTAGCTAAAGAGAACGGAACCATCAAACCACAGAGTCCAAATTTCATTGAAAATTCATCGAGTGAGCATGAGGCCTCATCGTCTAAGATATTAGGCGCATCTGCGACATAGCCATCTAATAAAATTCGTCGACAGTCTTGGTAATTCAAATTTCCACGATGCGTCACCATCCCAGCCTCGCCAGAGCCATGGAACGATAACTCAAACAAACAACATCACATAGCTCGTCGAAAACATTTCTTCATGTTTGAACAAATCAGCTGTTGTCGTCTTGAAAATAGTTTTTATGTGCGCAATATCAAAATCACTTGTTGTACGTTACAACACCAAGTCGCTGGGAAACACTGCCCCTCTCGGGGATTGAACTGCACTGTCTTGATGCGACCTCGTTGAGTGCCTTCCGTCGAGCTATCAGCGGCGCTTCCCAAATCGGATCTACCCACAAAGTGCTCTGCCGTCAACCGCACAGGTGACAACTCTGACATCCAGCGAGGCCATACAGGGGCCTTGCCCGTGCGAGCGACAGTGATTTCTATAAGCTTCTGACTTGCAGACGCATCTCCGACGGCTTCAGAAGGTTCTGTCGTGGACGAAGCTCCAGTTCGCTTCTCTTTAAACAGTTGAACAAAATGCACGAAGTTAAATCGACAATGTTGCGGTTTCTTTCTGGAGCCCTCCGGAGCATACTTGAAACAGGTGGCCTGATGTTCATGAAGGTGTCCGCTCAAAGCACAGATGCCACGTAAATCTTCACAAAACGCATCCGCGTAGCCGCCAGGCTGGTGCACAGTGCCCCGACGAAGTCCATCACAGACTCGGCAGTCGCATCCTGCAAAGCCACCCCTCAAAAGACGATAGTGTGGGAGACGAGTCATCACGGCTCCCGTCAACGGAATCTGACGGACACTGAAACCTTCCTTCTTCTCGTTGGTGACTTCCGAAGGGCCACTGTCTAGACGCTGTTGGATATGAAAATCAACGAAGCCGGCTTCCACAGGAACCAATGGTCTTCGTCTCTCAGGATCTTTGCGACAGTCTTCCAGCTCTCCGTCAAACTTGTCATCCTGTTGCCACTTCGCCAGATACGGCACACCTTTCAGTTCAACATTCTCGAAAGGCACGTCCGCAAAGTGTAGCTTGAATAAGCCAGCGCAAGAGTTCATCAAGGATTCGACTGCAAGCAAGGTTTGTTTCTGCCACTTGCGGAGTAATCCCTTGGCTGCAACAGATTCAGCGGAGAGAACGCGACGGAGCCACTGCTGAGAAGTGCTGTGCACGAAGTGCAGCACTATGTGCGGGTGGCACGAAAGTCTGGCCTGTTCCTCTATAGGTCCATGCATCTGCGCAATGGCTCCGAAGCTCCCACCCATAAAGGCTGCCGCGCAGCCATCTGCGAAGTGGACTCCGTTGCGCGTTCCATTGGGTCGCAACTGCTCGTCGTATGGCATGACGCCAAGAACGTGCTCCAGGAAGAGTCGCATGGACAGTACGAAAAAACGAGCCTGGGCGACGGGATTTTCGGCCAGGATCTCGAGCATGAGGGAAGCCGTGGGCATGGTGGGGGCCTCATCCAACAACGACAGCACAAACTTCTCGTTGTTGCCTTCCTTTGTGAAACCGCCCAGTGGATGTCGCACACACCCTTGCTGTAACATCACAACCAACGGGTTCCGGGTGTCGGCGACATTGGGAGTCAGAAATCCACCGATGGCTCCAAACCTCAATTGAAGCGCTGAATCAGACAATCAACAGAAACAAAGCGCGTCAGGGACATCTAAAAAAAAGCATAAGAAAGTAGCAAAGAACACCTATTATACACATTGGCAGACTCAAGGTACATGAGCATGGCACCATTCTGTTCGTGTCGCAGCTGTTGCCTCGCCCCGTCCGCGCCGATGATTTCTGCCGAAAAGAACAAGAGTTGTGATATGGCGTCTCGGATTCTTTCGTCAACGATGGACGAGCGCATGACGTCTGCGATGGTGGCATATTCTCCTAAGGATAACATTGCCCTGCTCAACCGATCCGAGGTGCACTGCAAAACCGTCTTCAAGGATTCTTTGAATTTCTTACGCTTCACATGTGCAGAAGCCAACCTCACCGTCTCCATGCGTTTCCAAGTGTCGCAAGCAACTGCAACGAAGTTCAAATCTGCACACCAGCGCGGCACAGCCGGAGGTTGAAAGCTCCTCGAGCCGGGGACACCGGCTTGGTCCCCAGTGCTTTGGTCTTCCGGAGCCATGTCAGTTGGGTCCACGGCGTCGTATTCCAACTCCGCTCGTTCAAGTAGGTACCCAGCCCATTCACGAAAGGTCAGAGGTGCATCTCGGACAAGTCCATACACTCCATCTCCATAGGGAAACAACTCAGGAAAACACTTTTGCCAATATTCTGCGCTATACATACTCAAAGGTTTCGACGCAGTGTGCACCACCTGTACTGTCTTCAAATCAGGACTCTCGGTCGCTCCCTGCGTGCTGTCCATCTGCGCCACCAGCGCGTCAAGCTTGGCTTGCAGCTCCGCGGAGGACATACTTTCTGCCAGACGACGAAAGCTTTCCACTTCTGCATCG